ATTAAAAATAGCGTCTCAATTAGTTGTGACAGGAGATAAATAAGTATTCCAATGTTGCAATAAATTGCAACATTATTGAAATTCAAGTTATAATAGACAATAAAAAGTATCATAATGTTATAACACTATCTTTAATTATGATAAATATGTAGTTTTCTAATATAATATTAATTTCAAGTATAAAATTAAAGAAATAATAAACTTTTTATATATAATTATCTAAAAATATTAAATTGATTATTTAATAGTTCAAATCTTAATTACGTATTAGTGTAATTGGTTTAGATTTATATTTTAGCTTAATGATTATATTTATATATTATATCATTTTTTTAAAAAATTAATACATTTTAAGATTAGATAACAGTTTTTAATTTTAAAATTATATTATTAAATTATAAAATACTAAATTAATTTATAATGACCTTTATTTTATTTAGTTTCCTTTCTGATTTAGAATTTTTTAAAATAGAAATAAACTTTTAGCAACTTTAAAGTATAATGCAAATGATCTGCTAATTTTATTACAAAATGTAATTATATGTTAGATGTTTAGTAAAATTTTGACAAATATTCATATTCAAATATAAAAAATAAATTATTATAAATTGTATAAATTGTATAGTATTCGATTATAATCGATTAATCTTGAATTGTCTGAACTAAATGAAAGGCAAAAAGAGCAAAAAACGAGTTATTAGAAAGACAATCTATTACTGTGTATAATAGATTATTGTTATTCATATTGCTTTAGCTTTTGAATGATGTTGGGAAAAGATTCTACATCATTAATCGAATTAATGGTGCTTGGATTTTTTCAGAAATCTAAACATTTGAATTGGCTAGTTAAAAATTCTTAACAGAATCATCCAATATAAGTAATTTTGTACTTTTTATATTATTTGAAACATTACACAATTTCATAGCATGAAGAATAAATTTTTCAAATTTATTAGAATCGAATTACCATACTTTATTTTTATAAATTAAAAGAAAACGCAAATAATTTACGGAAGGTGTTATGTAAAAAAAAAAAGTTGGTGCCACTTACCCTTTAAACTTTTAAATATCGTCAAAAATCACATGACATTTCAATTCCACTATTTTGCAATCTATTTTATTATTTATTTAAAAATTAGTAAAAAAAATTAAAATGGTGGTAAACTTTAATATTAATCTTACCCGCATTTTTCATAGAAAGGAATATTCTGTAACAATTTAAAATATATATTAAAGCAAGAATTGATAACATTTATAATTAATAGCGAAATTTTACCTCGACAGAACAATCCAAAATAGCTGCAAGAAATAAATACAAAGTAAGAAGCAATTACTGAACAGGCATAAGTAACAGTATATAAATTTCACCTTTAACACATCCAATTTTTACTCCAATATATTTGAGAGCTTGAACAACACTAAAATAAATAGTATTTTACTTCCTAATTATTTAAATATAGATTTAATGTATAAATCTTCTTTAAAAATTTACCTTGAACCGAAATGTTTACCTTGATGATTTTTATCAATGGCAACATCCTCTATATGTCCAACCTAATTGATTTGTAATAATAAAGTCATAAGAAATTTAAAAATGAAAAGATAAAGATATTTCGAATCAAAGATAACTAACACGCCCAGCATTAAATATAAATTTATGCTCGACAAAGATTGCTCCGGTTCCGATAACTCGATCTTCGGGAGATATAATTACGATAACAAAGTATTCATCTTGACGTGCTTTCATGTAATTAAACCGCTCTAAGAAATTTATTAATTTTATTAATATAATACATTTAAATAACCGGAAGAATGAAATATCTACCAAGAAATTGATCTTTGGAGAGGCTTCCTATGTCATTAAAAACGGATAGCACATCAAAAAAACCACGCTCATAATCATCGATAGATAAGGGTCGTAAGGTATAACTTTTGGGTAACGACGCTTGAACTTCAGATGAGATGAAATCTTTTGAAAAAAGTAGTACAGACATCGTTTATTTACTTGAGAAATATAATTGTTTCAAATTTTATCCACTAATGAATTAGTTTGTTACACAAAAACTTTTGTTTTGATTTGTTACACGGAAGATAAAACTAATTTATTTCTTTTCATAAGCTTTTTTAACATACTGCTCATAGGAAAGAATGTTTGGATGTAATTGTTTAACGATAGAAATATCTCCATTGCTTTTGTCTTTTCCAAAAAAATCAAATTCTTTAATCCATCCGTACTTTAAACAGGAACATACGAGTATTTTATTAATGAAAGGATTTAAAAAAAAAAAGAATTTTGTTATATATTTACCATCTCTCTGATTTCTTGGTTGTATCTTGGATATCCTTTTTTGATACTTTCGTCATCAAGAGTTTTTAAGATATGTCGTTTTCCAGAAGCTATACAATTAAGATTATAGGTTTAATAACGATAATGTTAAATCTACCGTCTTAAAAATATATTTACCCTTGGTTAAACAATCAATAATATGTTTCATATTCACATATTCTGAAGCGATGGGAATCGCTTTACCGTTCCATTTAGCAGGTCCTTGTTCAAGAATTTTCGAAACAATTGGCTACCATAATAAGGAAAAATTGGTTTTTATATAAACATATTAAATATATATAATTTAAATAAATAAAATATATACATACACCAAGGTCATCAACATCGATAATGGCAAGAACATCGTCTTCCTTTAAATAAGGAAGAGCAATTTCAACATCACCGTTATCTTTCTGCTCCTTGTAGACGATCCTTTCAAAATTATTAGCATAATATCCAAGATAGACGAATGTAACGTTTGGAATTCCCAATGTTTTAATATATTTTTCTACGTAATTTTTACCGGTTAAGTTAATAGTCGGATATTTTCCGTTAGATTCGGTGGCAAGATCAGGAAAAGAACTACAATTTAGGCATTAAAGTTCTTAAATTCATGTGGATGAATTTAGTGAGAATGTTTATAAAAATTCTTTTACCTGTAGATTATCCATTTAATTCCGGCTGCTTTGGCAATGTCGGCAATCAATTTACCTAATCTTTCTTCTTCGTGAACACCTTTACCAACGATTGACTAAATATAAATAATTTTTATTCTCATTTAAGTTCATCTTAATGAAAAAAAATAATAATAATAAAAATAAGTATCAATATTACCGGATCCCAATAATTAGTATTGACATATGCAATTTCGGCACCTTGCAGAGCATTCTCGATCTCTTTTTTCTCGAACAAATCACATTTAAATACTTCAGCACCCTTAGCTGCCAATTCCTTTGCCTTTTCAGAATTTACGTTACGAGTTAATGCTCGAACTCTGTAACGATCCGTTCCGAGAAGTGAATTAGCAACGGATCCACCTTGCGCACCTGATTTTTTAAAAAATCAAATATTATTCACATCTTTAAATAAATGACTGCGTATAAGCATTCTTTGTCTTTTTACCTGTAGAACCGAATACGACAACTAAAGGTTTTTGAGACATTTTTTTTTTGGTGAAAAATCCCCAAAAAAATTTCACACCATTTTATAAGAACGATTAGAGCAGATTTCTATTTTTTCATGTATTTGTCTAAACCGTTCAGGGTTATATGGTAAATATTTACCTGGATTTATAATATCACACCAGGCTTAATAATACAAAAAAAAGACTTTTTTCTTGGCATAGATCCGCTAATATTAATTATGATTAAAAGAATACGACGAGTCTGAGAGCGAAAATTTTGCCTCGCGCGAGTTTACCATTAATACTACCTCACTTTTTAGTCAAGTTTAGAAATATGGTAGTAGGTATGTATGAAATTTTCAAATTTCTCGTTAAAGAATATTATGCTGCGCAATTTATCTAAGATGGTTGGATCGAAACGTTAGTATATACAAGGTATTTTTATTATTTTCACGGTATAAAAATAAACGTCATTATTCATTCTATAAATAATAATAATCTAGAAAATAAGTGGAAATTATTAGTAATGATGATTTTTTTGGTTAGAATGAAATTAATAACGTCCTATTTTTGAATTTTTTTTGTGGGAAAAAATTGGTATGCCAAAAGGCACCTTATTTTGAGCAATGCGTATCCTTGTTTTTTAGTTTTTGATGTTATTGGATTAAAATGTAATAAGGTCTTAATTTTTAGTTAAAAAATTTCCCAGAGCCTGATTTTCCTAGCAACCTTCCCATATATATATATATATATATAGTATTAGAAACCATACAAGTATAGACTATTTGTTTATAAAAAAAACTATACATGTATAGTTTTTAATGTATATATGCATTAAACCATACTATAATCAGATTTTTGTAATATTCATTTTAAAATTGAAAATTGGACCATTTAAATTAGCTATTATAATTAAATTTATTATTAATATCAAATAATTATATTAATAGTAATAAGGATTAATTTAAGTAAAAATGCTTAGATTTTTCAAAAAAAAACTTTTAAAAAAAAAATTATAAAATTTTTAAAAGTATTATACAGATTTAATTTATAACATATTATAAATTGTCATGTAAATTTACTTTTAAATCAATTTGAAAATTATTTGCTTAATTGTTTTGCTTTTAATTTTTATTAAAAACTTTTTTTTGATTTTTTAATTTTTTTTAGTTTTCTTGAACTTTCTTTAATTTTTTTACTTTAGCTTTTTTTTAGTTTTATATGCATAAATATACAAAATTTTAGATTGTATCATTTTTCAGTTTATTTTTAATTTTCTTTAATAGTTATAATATTATATTATATAGATATTTTACAATAGAAAAAGAGGAAACTACTAAAAAAGATTTTTTTATTTTATAAGTTAAATATATTTTTTTAGTAAAATAAATCTAGAATTAACATTAACTCAAAAAAATTTTTTTGGTAGTTTTTTTTTTTACTGTAAAGTGCTTATATCAATAATATTTTTTAAAATAATAGTAAATACTAATATAATTAATAAACTTAAAAGAGGTAAACAACCATTTTCAGACATTTGAAATCATATTTTAAAGGATTTAATTAATCGAAAGAACATTATTCAATAATCTATAATAACTGTAAATTATATTAAAAATATCAAAAGCCTAAATATTTAGCTAATCATTATAAAAATATCTTAAAGAACTTAAATTATATATAAGTATTATAGAAAGATATAAAGAAAAATATAATATTTAAGATGAATATATTTAAAGTGAATCAGATAAACCTTTTATAATAAAATTTAAACAAATAGTAATATCTAATTTTTTAAACTAAAAAATAGAAAAAAGAAAAATTGATAAAATAGATTGTATCATCACTAAAGTATTTATAATGTCTAATATTTTATTTTAATACTGTTAATATACAATTTTTACGAATTGCAATAATTAGACAATGTATTATAGGTTAATTCTTTTTAAATCTATATAGTAAAATATATAATTATACTAAATAATGTTTATAAGAAATGTGAATATTTATGTATAAATATTTGTTATAATGTTAAATAATTGATAGTTTATAATAAAATAATTTATTAATAAAATATAAGAAAGAAGCTAAGAAATAATAAAGAAATAAAGAAAGTATTTAATGAAAGGTAAAATATGATAAATAAAAATAAGGTTGCTCAATAGCTTAAGTATATGTAAAATACTAAAAGAAATATACTAAGTGAGTTTGAATCTGAATATATATAGAAAGTTTAAATAACTGAGTCATATATATATATTTTTTCAAATACTTAGAATAATATATTAATTATTTTAGCTTTTTTTTTAAACTTAGTTTTAAATTCTTTGAAGATTACTAAAGTTTCAATTAATTATATTCATAATATTTTAATGGATTAGAATAAATTAAGAAATATAATATTAGTTGATAAAAATATTTTCAACTATATTAATAATTTTAACAATTTCAACTAAATTAATTATGTTAACTATATTAAATATATAAAATATATTAAATATGTTAAATATGTTCAATATGTTAATCATATTAATTATATCAATTATGTTATTATTTAATCTACACTATGTAGATCAGTAATATTTTGATAGTCCAGTCATAATACTATTAAAAACTATAGTTTTTTAATCTAATTAAAACATTATAACTAATATATGATATGTTTTTACATTAAGTATTAAGTAGATTTTTATTATAAATAAAATTAGTTAAAACTAATATAAAAATAGAAAATAAATTAAATAAAAAAATTTTACTATTAATAAAAATTATATAATTATTATTAATTTTAATTAATTATTTAAACTAAATATTAATTAATTATCTTTTTATTTTATATATTAGATGAATAGATCCTTAAGATAATAGTATTTGTATTTTTTTTTTTTTTAACTTCTTTAAGAATTTTATAATTTGAAGATTTTTAAATAAATATTATGATACATAAAATTTATTTAATATTATTTTTAACATAATTGAACAAATTAATAAGAAATTAGCATTTTTAGTTTAATTAGCAATAACTAAGTTTCTATTATAAGTTATACTGCAATAGCTACAGATTTAGGCTTTAGCTAAAGTATAAAACTGAAGATTTTCATAAAAATTTTATTGTAACTAAATACATAAGTATATACTGTATACTAATATATATTAGTAATTAGTTAATCAATCTATTAATTAATATTGATTATACTTAAATATTAGATTTTAAAGATAAGTAGATATAAATAAAACTAAAGATTAATAAAAACTTAGCTTTCGCTAATAAGTTTATAATAAATATTATCTTATGTTTTCAAATAGTAGGAGTTTTATCTCATAAGAAAGTAATTAATCAGTAATTAATAAATTAAATTTACTATAAGAAGCTGTAATAGCTAAGATAATTACTGCATTACATACTATAATATTTTTTAATTGAATTATCATTAGAGTTAGAAGCTAAATTTGATTTTTAAATAAATTTGACAATATGCGTATACAATCAACTCTTAATATAGTGAACTCTTGATATAATGAATTTTTTAAACAAATATAATAAAAATACTCTTGTTATAGCGAATTGGCCAATCAAATTTCTTAAAATCTTTACTATAGCCTTATAGCGAAATTGAGATCTAGGATATAGAGTTCGTTATAACAAAAGTTGACTGTAATAGTCACTACTTTTATAATTTTACATAAAGATAATAATTCTTAGAATATAAACTTATAAGATTATTTTACTATCAGACTTATTTAATAGTAAGTAAAGATTGTAGTTTCTAGTAGATTACAATAAAAATAGAGTGTAATAAACTCTATAGCTAAAATGATCACTCTATGTAGTGGTAATAGTATTCTATAATCTAGTAAGTTTATTATAATAAGTATAGCTATTTTAGATAGTTTAAGTTAGGTTAACAACTATCTAAGAATTTAAACAAGATTGTTAATATACATATGAGGTATCAAAGATTTAATTAAGGATTTCATTTAGAATATATTTACTTGATAAATAAGTATTTTTTTTAAGATCACTCTCCTGTCATTGCAAATTAATAAAAAAAATTAAACAAATTAGTATAGATAAATTTATGACAATTATATCAGATAATAAAAATATAACAGTTATCAGATAATAGTAATTCAAAAATATTTAAATATAATTAATATTAGCTATATTGTATATTGAATTAATTTAATAAGTTCAGTTATTATTAAAATAACATAAGTTATATATCTTGTGAAATATTATAATATTCTAATAAAGATTTTTAAAAATTTATTTATTAATAGATCATAGTTAAAAGAAGTTATTAATTTAAAAAATATAAATAAAGAAAATTTAAAGACTTATATAAAACTTGTTAGATAATAATTTATAAATATATATGCTTCTACAAAGGGTGATCATGGATTTTTGAATGATTTAAAAAATCATTTATATTTATTTATTTATGTTAATAATTTTTTTTAGAATAAATGAAAATTTATTTATTCTGAATATTTTTATATGTTTATTAAAAAAATAGTAAAATTTAATATTTTATTACTTCACCTTCAGCTGTTATATACGCTTAGATTCGATAGAGTATACTTTTAACTAATTTTGAATATAATTAAATGGAATTGAACACTAAGTATTTTTTACTTTACGTTTCAAATCTTTCAAACTTTTAGGTTGATTAGACAAGTTACGCACTTTTTTATCAACTTTATTCTAAAGGTTCTCAATCAAATTTAAATTGAGACTTTGTGTAGGTCAAGGTAGTATAAGAATATTTGAGGTATTACAAACATCAGCAGCAATCTTTGATCGATGAGGTGGAGCATTATTCTCTTGAAAAATTCTTTGTTTGCGAGAAACTAATTTATAAAGTGATGGAATAGCATGTTTCTGCAATAATTTTGCATATATTTATCCTTTTACAGATTCATGAAGAGGAATAAGTAATCTTATCTTATATTACGAAAAGTATCCCTAAAACATTCGACTGAGACTAATGCTCTGAACGGTTCAGTTCAGTCCAGATTATAGGCCAATCCGAAACTGA